TCCTGACACCTCTTTCGCCTCCTTTACATCCATATATCTACGCATACATGCTCGTCGGTTAAGGTTTTTTCATTAGAACGTATTAATAAGTTATCATACCCATATGTAATGTGTTCAGTGACCGTTTTATCATCGTAGTATGTACGACTACGACACGGTAATATTATCTATACAGTATTTTAACTCGGCCGTATCTTTGAAATAAATGCCTACAGCCGCGCGGTACGTAAACATGCGATAGGGCTGCCTGCCTCCAGCATTTTTACATTTGCCTACTTTGTGTTTCCATTTAGTTTTATGATTGTAAATATACTTTTTTATATAAACAAATATAATAGGTACTTTGTGAATTGAATAGGAAGTGTTCAATAAATATGCGTGTCGTTATTTGATCGGTAGATTTAATTAAAAAACCATGTTTATGTTTGAATAACAAATCGGTCTTATAAATTTGCGACCGAAAAATATTTGTGCCTCAGCTGAGACGTACGAACTTTATTATTAAAATTTTAAGTATAAAAATCCGCATTCTAATATAAATTAAAAATTGTTTTAGGAAACATGGACAAGGTGGAGAAAAGGAATATTTTTACTTGGTTATAGATACCTGCAGCTATTTTACAATTTATATGTTTGGTTTTAAATGAAGTTCGGATTTATTATTTCTTTATTTTTATTCTATTATTTATTTCCTCCAGTTTTTATATATATATATATTCCACAAAATCATCACTGCGGCACAGTCACGACTGTCTGCATGCCGAGCGCATGCCGAGATCGAGGCGCGTAGGCATAGCTCTCGCTTTGTCCGTTTGTATGGAGTTGGAATATATAATGTGATATAATGGTATAGATAAAATTTCCGTGACTACGATGTCCGATCTAACGGTTGTAGCCGGTTGTAGCTCATTTTGTTCCAGAAGGGCGTGTCAGGAGGAGCTTAAGAGTGTTGTTGTTGTATAAAATATTTATATAAAAATATCTATTCGATGGCTGTTAGAAATTATCTGTCGAAGAATTAGCAATGATTGCTATTATTTTGACCAATGGTGAGCAAATGCGGTTACAACGTGCCTGGTCGCATGCGTAGAACGATATGGTAAAGTCGCGTGTAATGCATTCGAGTGAATATTTAGATATTCGTACCTTACAAATTCGATCCCCGCCGGCACCAATGAAATTGTTAATTGCAATTTTAAGTGCTGATTTACCACGTGCTCATCGGTGAAGGGAAACATCGTGAGGAAACCTGCATGTCTGAGAAATAAGAAAAAAATATTTCGAAGACATGTGAAGTTCGCCAACACGCAATGGGGCAGCGCGGCGGACTATTCCTTGCCCTAAAACCCTCTCAGAAATGAGAGGAGGCCTGTGCCCAGCAGTGGGACGTATATAGGTTGTAACTTTACTTTTTTACTTTTTTACCTTACAAATATTCTCGTCATGTTCGCAGTCTGGTCATAACAGGTTATGGTGTTGGTTGATGATCAGTGACGGAACGATTTATTATTGCGATATATGATATGTGATAAATTCAATTATAAGACCGTTATATTCATTTAATACAAAGAATATTTAAATGTTGAAATGGTTGCGGACATTGTATGGAACGTTGTAGCGGCCATATCCGTAAGATGCTCCTAACTGCAACGCTGGTCTAGTGGTATTAAACGTAACTGTTGATTGTGAGATCCAGATTTCGAATCTCAGGTTGGGCCAACTCAAATCAGTTATTATTTTTTTTAATTCTCAGTATCAGCACAGAGTTAGAAAGCGGTTTTTCACCCTAGTGCTTCGGATAGTACTTTAAGCTGTTGGTCCTGCGTCTGATCTCTCTCCGATCTTGTCGTTTTGCCGTCCCATCGGACTATGAGTATGTTGTAATAGAAAGTATAGACCTGCATTCGTGCATACACCCGGGCACTATAATCTGTCATGCGTAAATACTAGTCATCGTTCAGACAGGCTGCCGTGACTCAAATTCGGTCTAGAGGACCGAGAGGTCCGGAAGATAAGATGCTCCTTTTATATTACGAAAATACTTCACGGTTTGGCCTTACGTATGTAAATGTTTTAATACTATATAAAAATTATAACTGTTATAAAATTTCCCACCACTTCCCCTTTAGCAAATAGCCGAGATGTCCAAAATAGCTGGCTGTAGTGACTTTGACGCAGAATCTCGCGCATGTACCATCGACTGTGAGCTTCCATCACTGGCGATAGAACTCCAACTAAAACCTTTATTGGGCATATTAATATTAATTTATACAAATAGACAAATAATATTATTTAGAATTTTCTGGTCTTTTGAATCCTTCTAGATATTTTAACAGAGCTTATAGCTTAAACTTATAATATATAGGTACAACTAATTTCAGAAGTAGGGGAAAGGTTTATTCATATTTTATTTGTATAAAATATCAATTCATATAGGACATTAAGAAAAATAAAAAGAAGAAATAATAAACACTTTCCCGCCATTTTTTAATTTTTTTTCAGTCCGCCAAAATAAGTGAACCTAACGAAGAAATTCAATACATTCTGAAGTTTTATAACAAAAAGAGAAAAATGTAGTGAATCTAACGAAGAAATTCAATACATTCTGAAGCTTTATAACAAAAAAGTGAAAAAAATGCAGTGTCAGTACAGGGGGCGTTCAAGTATTACGTAATGCAATTTGGGGGTAGGTTGAGGTTCTTTTAAAACGTTACAATGCTTTACTTGGTCGGGAGGGGGGTCGAATAACGCGTTACGTAACATTTTTTTTTTTTCAATTTAAATAAAAAACTAGGGAGTTGAAAACTCCGCAGTTGGCAACCCTTTTGTTTATGTTTTACGGGATATCCCTCGATTGTATTACACGTCATTTTTATTTTTTTCTCCCAATATGGCAACTCCAAAATCCCGCGAAATCGACAGTAGTAGAATTCGCTGTCAGTATTCGTAAACACGTAGAAGCACATTGCTGTAGTCAGTGTTGTTAAAGTGAGTTCATACTGTAATGTCCCCAAAAGAGGGAGATTTGCGTCATCAGCTGTTTTTGGTCTATAAAGGTTCTCATGCTGACTTACCAGCGCAACTGTGCCAAAAAAAATGCCAAAGGAATTTCTAAAACAGCTTAAGAAAAACTAAAAAATAAGGAAAAGTTTATAGAACATATAAATGATGTTATACGAGAGCTCAAGGCGAAAGCCACGAAGAAGAAAATATACGTTTTTAGCCACTTTCCAGTACATTGCGGCGCGTTACATGGGGAGATGGTGGGTCAAAAATTTTCAAATATTGTATTACGCAATTCTTCAACGCCCCCCAAGTTGGTTCAAGCGTTTTCAGTCCGGGAATTCTGATATAAAAGATGCAGTTCGCTCTGGTCGCCCTCATATGAATAAAGTCGATACCATTTTTTAAAAAGTGGAATGAGATTGGCATATTAGTAGTTACGACATAGCCGAAGAATTAAGGATTGACAACAATACAGTTTTGAACCATTTGAAAAAGTCTAGCTATACAAAAAAGCTCGACATTTGGGTACCACATGAACTCACTGAAAGAAACCTAATGAACTGTGTATTCATTTACGATTCTATATTGAAACGCATTTAACAGAACTATTGTTGAAAAAATTAATTACTATCTGAAAAGTGTATGACCTAAGACAAGAACGTGAGGAAAAGATCATGGACAAAGAGTAGTCAAGTTTCACAGACTGCAACGAAACCCAGATTATTAATACGCAACATTGTGACGCTGAGTGTATGGTGGGATGTGAAGGGCTTCGTTTATTATGATCTTTTACCCTCGGGCAAAACCATCGACTCGGATGTCTATTGCCAACAATTAATAAGACTTAAGCAAGAAATTGAGAAAAAACGCCCGGAATCGATTAACAGAAAAGGAGTGGTCTTTCATCATGGTTACGTCAGACAACGTACATCTTTGGCCACTCAGCAAAAATTGAGAGAGCTTGGTTGGCAAGAGTATCCACCACAAATAGTCCTGATCTTTCACCCCCAGATTTTCACATGTTTTGGTTTCTTGAAAATTCTTTGGGTAGTGTTAGGTTAACATCAAAATAGAACTATCAAAACTACTTGTCGCATTTTTTTTAATCAAAAATTTTAAGATTTCTACAGCAATTGGATTATGTCACTACCTACAAGACGGAAACAAGCTATCGAACAAAATGCCACTTAAATGTTACAATTAAATGTAATTAAACATTTTTAATTGAATTATTTAACTTTTTTAATAATTATCGAATACCAAGAAACTTTTTCTCCGACCTTTAAATAAAAAGGCGAACATTCTGTCCATACGAACATAAGATGCACAGACCTGTGTCGTCACGCAATGGAACAACATTTAATGATAATATTTAAGTTTATAACTTTTTATATGATCTATGATCGTGTAGGGGCAGTGTAAGAATATCCACAACCCCACATCATCGCGTGGATATCGTAAGAGGCGACGGAGGGAAACAAATCAGATGGGATGGACGCAGGCAGCAGCTTCCTCCCAATAACGACTAATAATAAAAAACTGCAGTTGCAGACCCGACTGCCAAGCGTGGCAGCTATGGCAAATATCCTCCCTACGAGGCAATCTATAGAGGATTCCTGTGTTCTGAAGTAGACTTTAATAGGTTGTAACAAGATGAGAAGACGATCTGTTAGTTCAAGCCAAATGTGCCGCCTGAATCTCTACGTCAATGCATAAAAGAAAAAGCCCTTCATAAAGAATCTTCTTATTTTTCATTATCAATCAGTAATAACTAGTCATAGGCATATCCCATTGTATCAAGGGTATGCCATAATTGTATCTATGTGAGCATTGAGGGACCATGCCGAGAATTCGAGAAATGAATTATTGATGAGGTGATAGCTTATCTTACGTCACTACCACGTGATTAATTTTTAATAAAGATTGGCAAAAACTTACCAGAGAAAATTTAAAGATGAATTAAAAAAAAACATCGTTAATATAATAACACTTACGTTTCCGTCTGTATCTGGAATACATGGTTCGGGTTCCAAGCTGTATTGAAGCCGCACGGATAAAGCGTCTTCAAGTGGTCTAGAAAGTAAAATTATTTTTTTTATAGTGTAAACATTATTTACTCCAATACTAAATTTTTAAAACGCTAAAAGACTTTTTAAAATATCTTACGACTTACTTAAAGATTTCTTTATGTCTACGCAAACACTACGCATTGAACAACAATACTTTTATGGAGTTTATTGAATTTAAATTTTAACTTATTTTTGCCTCCTAACATTTCAGTGCTTTTAGAAGTGAAGGTGTTCGACGCGCTGATTTCATTGTTAACCCCGGCAACCTTTAGCTTTAATTAATAATTTTAAAGTGATCTTCACAGAATGAACTGACTGTATCTTAAAGTATTGTAGTGGTATGATTGGTTTTGGATTTTTTTTAAATTACAGGGTTCTAAGCAGTAAGCAGACCTGCTTTATTGAAATTAGAATGTTTTACACACTTTGATGTCTCAAATCTACTATACGTCCTTTTACGGGGATTTCTATAGAAATTTTTGTCTGCTTTACATAAGAGAAACTACACTCACAATGGAACATGTACACTCCAGCGTCTTGTAAGGGATATCACTTAACTGTCTAATCTTCTGTAATGGTTTGTGGATTATTCTAATAGAAACTAGCTTCTAGGTGTAGCCAATCTTATGTGTGACTCTCATAACATATACAACTATACTTGACTTTAATAAGTTAAAATTAAATACGATAGATTCCGTAAAAGTAGTTTCATTCAATATCTTAAAGCATAGTTTATGAGATAAAGGGAGAACTACTCAAGCTGAAATATCATAATAAGTCTGGTATGGCATTACTAAAATTATTATGCCAACAAACGCTGTCTTCAATTTTTTTTTTCAAAACCTTCCAAATACACCATGAACAAACATTCAAAAGCTTCTCCTACAAAACAAGAGTATCCGTTTAGTGTCCGTTTAAGTTTTTTCAGACTTTCCAGGTTTTGATTTACAACATTAAAGTTAAGATTTTGCTTTTGAAATATGTTTTAATGATAAACAATTTTTGATCGAAAATTCAGAATATAATCATAAGGATAGACAAACACGGCAAAATTATAAAGAAACCTCTCCTAAAACTACTTAATATAAAATTAAAAAAAATCATTATTACGCAACAACAACCACTCCAACGGGCTGATTCCTACTCAAAAGCACGTAAGAATCCAGTTCGTCAAAAGTGAAACTAGAATCAATTAGTTCCAATAGCTCATTTTTCCTCGGTGCGTGCACTAACACGTCGGCAAAATACGGTACATCATATTCCTCGGCTGGACGCACGTGAACTTCACTGCATCAAAAATATATTTTAGTAAGAATTAATAACTAGAAGTACTATTTACCTTGTGACAATTATATAATTTAATTCAAACCTACCCTTTAACAGAGTTGATATGCGAAACGAAAAGAGATTCATTGACGAAACGCGACCGAGGAATATAGGGCGTTACTAACTGAAAAATATAATTATTAATGTTAGGAATAGTAAATAAGTATCACACAGCTTCCATTTCACCTTTAGGAATATGAGGATATCAACAAAACACTTTTAGAATCATCACAAGGCCAGTATTGAGATACAATCTCGAATTCATAATCTCAAAATTTGTGTTTACCCTAAAATAGTATGTTACTCAAATTATGTCGTTATAAAGTTTGATCTTAAGTTCGAGATTGTCTCTAAATTCCTGCCTTAGGAACAGAACTTCTTTTCAGTTTTTTCTTAGCAGTAGGAGATGGTAGTAATACTTGCTTTGTAGACTTGTAAATTTGTTGTTTTCTTTGTTGGCCGAAGCCATCGCTGCAAATAGTCACTTATCTAATGAACTTCATACTCGTTCTCTGTACATCCTATAATAAGTAACTTTTCTAACACTACAATGTTGTTATGAAATTAAATCTGGTATAATATGATTGTTATATTATAATATACGAATGATTTCTTGTACTCGACGAAAACGCCTCCTACCGGGTCAAATTGTGAATTTAAACCATCCAAGGACCCACTCAAATACACATCATAAAATTATGAAATCAGTCGAGACATTTTCGAGTTTTAGCGATACTAACGGACAACAACTGAATATGGGTGATGGTTTAAGAATATCTACTACCCCATAGAGTCCCATGAGTGACGTTAGAGGCAACCGAGGGAAATATACCAGGAGGGGTAGTAGAATCTGCCTAATAACAACCAGATACTTAGGTAGGCTGTATTGATAATATATACGAGTATATATCATAGACGTCAACAGCCCATTAACACAGCCCATCAAAGAACACAGGCCTTTCTCAATTTCTGCCGTAATCCAATCCTTAATTCTTCGTCTTAAAAGGTGAATTGGTGATCAGTTCCAAAATTTTTCTTAGAAGGTAACTTAAATCTGATATTATCGTGATGGTAATTATAACATCTATAGTAGTGATGCTACGAATATTCGGCAACTATTCGGTATTCGGCCTATTCGGACACTTTTTTGCTATTCGGTATTCGGCCAAATAGTACGTACTATTCGGCCGAATAGCAAATGATGTAAAAAAAGACACGCTGTTTTACTCAAAATTATGTATTTATTTCCAAATGACAACATTTTAGTAGTTAAAATTAATCAGTGGTAAGTTGTGATAAAAACGAGCTTTTCAGCATTTTTTGGTTGCGCTTTTCATCGTAAACGTTACCAGCCTCAGAAAATAACCTCTCACTATAAACGCTACTTCCAGGCGAAGAAAGATAAACTTTTGCAAATTTTGAAAGGTTCGGGTATTGTTTTTCGTTTGCTGACCACCACTTGTAAGGATCGGCCTTCCGATCTAGGCGAACTGTTTTCAAATAAAAATCCAACTCGTTTGCCACAGCATTCTTCTCCACGTTCTCCTCATCATTAGCAATATTTCCCATATTCTCATATGCAGCGACTTCTTCAGAGCAGTTCCAGATACTGTCGTGTATTTCAACTTCAACAGTCCTATCATTTTCATTCAAGTTTCTTTTCTTATGCACTGGAGAAGAATCGTCATCAGTACTACTTGGTTCATCACAACTTCTTTTTAGAGCTTCTAGAAGAATTTTTGTCTTGCTCTTTCTGCTTGAACCAATCCTAGAAAACTCGTTTTAAAGCGAGGATCCAGAAAAGTAGCAACCAGATATTTGTTTTTATCATCGAAGCTGAATCGCCTTTCTAGCTCGGCCTGCAGTGAAGATCTCATCTTGACTAAATTAGGTACTTTCTCAGCTGTCTCTGCTTTTCCCAGATATTTTAATAAAGTTACTGCATGTGGAATCACTTCAGAGATGCAAGAGATACCTGAGCTAGTTATTTTTGTTATTTCTTCGAATGATTTGAGAATTTTGATACATTGTTCCAATAGTTCCCATTGAGCATGTGTCAGATTTATTAAAGTTTCATGATCTGTTATGTACAAGGAGACAGATCGCTTTTGTTCTAATAATCGCTCCATTAAATAATACGTAGAATTCCAGCGTGTGCTCACATCTTGTATTAGTTGGTGGTTTGGCAAGTTAAGTTCTTGTTGAATAGATTTAAGTTTCTGCTCGGCTAAGCCAGAATGATTAAAATGGGTAATAATTCGTCTCGCAGCAGCTGTCATCTGTTGTACTTCTGGTTGAGATTGTAGCGAATGATCTATAGCTCGTTGTAGTGAATGAATAAAGCACCTGCCTGAATCATATCCTGCATCTCGCACACTTTTTATCATATTAGAGCCACTATCATGGACAAGTAAATGGAGCTTGGATTGAGGAATATTCCATCTTTTTGTAATAGCATTGAGCTCTTTTGCAATATTGATACCAGAATGTGAGCCAGGAAATGATTTCATAGCTAAAACCGATGTTCCAGAATGAACTTTGGAGATATCCAGTGCGCAGTGAAGCTCAGAAAGCTCTCGTTATTGTGCTGGCATGTCCATATATCAGATGTCACTGATAATGCTGCTGCCTGTGAAATACTGGCTTCTATTTTAGCACAAATTGTGGTCAAGTAAGTGCGACCAGGTACTTTATAATGGGGCAAAGCGTTTGCCATAAGTCTCTGAAATCCAACTCGTTCCACAAGTGACAATGGTTCGTTGTCCAAAGTAATCATTTCATGAATCAAGTAATGATATTTTATTGATTTCGGATCATTAATGTCCAAATTTTTTTGTGTTCCGGTGAGCTGCCGTTTTTTGATCTGGACGTTCCAGGTTCTGCTGGCATCTTGGCATCGGTAGAAGTAGAAGTACCGCCCATGTTGCTGCCACTTGTCGTTGGAGCATTAATTAAAGCAGCGTATTGGTCAACAGGTTTGGTTTTAAGATGGTTTTTTTAAAGAGGTTGTAGCTGTAAATAAAAAAAACTGAAATTAATTATAATTAAATAAGTTATTTTATTTCCCTTATCTATCTTATAGAAAATCGAATAAATATAGGTATATAAATAATTTCTTATAAAACTTTATTCCAAAACAACTAGGGCAAATTGATCTCCTTTCTTTTGTAAGTAGGTATCTACAAATAGGTACAGTACAACAACAAGGTAAGTAGGTACGTAGTTTTAGACATAACCAGTTAACAAACAAGAAACAACCACCTACATAAGTACCTACGTAAACGTATTAAGTGAATAAAACTATTTCGAAACTATTAAATTAACCTAACGTTTTACTTACTTGCTTTCTTTCCTTCTCCGCCTCTTGAGATCTTGATGCTACATAACAAACACTGGGCCAGTTTATTATTTTCACTACAAATATCATAATATTCCCATATGGACGATTTTTTATTAACCAGTGTCATTTTATAAGCCTTTTGACGAAAAAACTTCTTAGCAAAATAGTAATTAAGTTTCACTTTACGTATTATTTATATACTAACAAAGCACTCCGTGACGCGATTTACTCGCAATTGAAACAAATACAAACATTGTTTGTTTGCACCCCGCCCAGCGCGCGCGCCGTCGTCGCGTGCGGCGCGAACGCAACGAGAAAAACAGGTTGGGACTTGTCTTTGTCTTATTCCAGCTAACGCCCCCCACCAAGCATGTACTTCGCGCCGAATATTCGGCGCTTCGGCCGACAGCGTTGCCGAATATTCGGTATTCGGCCAATTCACTATTCGTGGCATCTCTTATCTATAGGATATAAACGACGATGGCGAAATTTATTATTAGATGTTCTTACACTGCTACCACACGATAATATATATATATATATATATATATATATATATATATATATATATATATATATTTTTAATGCATGCTGCAACTAACACTAAGTAAGTACTGAATGCTTATACACATATATGTGTAAAATATTAATTTCATGTGAATACCGTAAAATGTTCAAGCAGAGGAAAAGGCGGTTCGCTAGAAGGAAGACATATGACACAATAATTTCTGCCTGGAAATATTTCAAAAGCGGCTTGTAACAGTTCGAAACCAAACCTGTAAAAAATAATGAATAGTTAATATTATTTCTGTTTACATGTTTGGACAAGGAATTAAAACCAAGTTGTAGAGGCTTGTTTTGCAATGTACGCCCAAATTTGCAGAGTTTCAGAATAAACAATATAGGTTAGGTAAAGAAAAATTAATTTTAAAAAATCTCAAACATTCTGTTCTTTTTATGTTTTAAATTCAGAATGCGTGGTAATGAACTATTTTAACTGATTGTCATTCATTAATATCTAACGCCTACTCTTTTACTAAGCACGTGAACATTCGTAAGGATCGTTCGGTTGCCAAAAACTTTAATAATAATGTTCTCCAGTCTGAATTTCGGCCACGGTGGTCAGCCTCAACGGAGGCTAGCTATCGGCGCAGCACAGGATTACAGTGCCCAAGTGTATGCGCAAGCACAAGTGCGCTCTCTATTCCCTCACTCCCATAATCCGATGGGACGGTAAACCGACACGACCGGAGACAGATCAGGCGCAGGAACAACGTCGTTACGTGCTTTCCGTGGCACGGGGGTGAGACACCGCCAACTTCCTGACTCTGGGCAGCTACTGAGATTTTGTCATTTATTCTTTGGCGCGACCCGAGATTCGAACCCTGACCTCATGATTAGCAGTTGCACTATTACAACCACTACACTAACGAAGCAGTTACCAACAAAAAACTTTATGAATTGAATTGCACACAGAGGAGCGCACGTACGCGTAGTTGTTGCTCATATATATATATATCACATTAAATTTGGGATAATTTCAAATAGAAGTAGAAGCCATATTTACTCGTATTTTCAGAAACTGCAGTAACGGTATACGGTTCTCAAATTTAGATATTCCTTGAAAATTATTTGATATAGTCACTTACAGTACAATAATTTATTTAATTTTATATTAAGGCATTATAATTTAAAACCTGAAAGACAATTACTATTTTATCTATAAATAAAATAAGTTTCGGAGGCAGTGCTGAAGTTTTTTTAAAAAACAACAACTACTAAAATTATTATCATTCAAAGGTGGGAAAGTTACAGAGATATAATATTATGTTGTTATATAAAACATCGTGGAGGGCAGACAGTCTGCAGCCCCGTAATGAAGGGACCCGACTTGGGCAAAGCTACTTAGGTGTGAGTCAAACCAAGAAGCAGAGAGCGCCATTGAGAATAGCGTCCCACCTTACAACCATCGCAGAGACGCTATGCTGCAGAACGCAACTAGCATCAATACGACTATCATCGGGCTTACACCATCCCAAGGTCCCTATACATCCCAGCAGACATCACCACCACCCGCATACCTCCATCGACCAGAACCACAAGAGTGCGTCGAATCAGGCGCAGCACACCCGCAGATCCATCACAAGACGCAATACCGCAAGTAGCAGTAAGCATCAATGCAACTATCATACGGATGGCGCCCCCTCACAACACACCCACATGACCCTATCGACATTGGTAACAAAGTTTGTAATTGTTGTTAACTAAAAAGTATCACCAACGTATCATAGTAGCACGCTACTAAGACGCCAGTGAACAAAATTCCACGTAACATAGCGCTAATGCACTAAGACATGAAGTTGAGTATGCCTGTTACACTTAAAAGTGCTACCAAACACACTCATCATCCCAATCCGAAAGATAGACTACGCATCGCTATGCGCTACGACGCCGCCCTCAAACGGTATGGGTGTGCGATGTCCACGGGAAAGTCGTATTGCTACAACAAACCCGCTTACCACCAGCACTAAGATGATATGTCTAGGACACATCGGTTAGCGAGTCCAAGTTTACCTCGGACCGAATTGCTCGTGAAGCAGCATACACGCCACCATAATATTACTTTTCAAGTCCCTAATAAGGACTAGTCATTTTGCTACAGTACTAGGAGTCGGTCGGTCACAGTCGGTCACCCGACCACCCCATACAATGCTTATGCATCAAGGAGACCTCCTATAATATTGCTTTTGTATCATAGACCTTACTTTCATAAGTCATTCATATATAGGGCTCGAACCCACGACCCTACTATTATAATGCATATTCATCATAGAGACCTTACTAATACTAAAATTAATTTAGTACAATATTGACTTTTTTAGCTAAGTGATTACATTACTACGATGAGGTGAGGACTATAATGAATATCATTCCATATGCAACGGCTTTTATAGGATGGTCAGAAAAATTCTGTTGACTGAAAGTATGACACCTTGGTTTGACGAGCATTACCAATTATACAGTGGAGTCAGCGTCTTCTGTACATTACACTTCATAACTTGTTTTGATTACTCTAATATCAAAAGCTTAGTCGGCACAGTTCACATTTTGTTGTAAAATTATGACTACTTACAAATGTTATGATTACGAGAAATCTAATATCATAAGCTTAAATAACTTATATGAGTGAATTTACTAGGGTGGGATTGTTTACAATTTGTTACAGTTAATTTCTACATTTTTGTTATGCATAAAAAGAACTACACTGTCGCATTAGGCTGTTCCTGTCATGATAGTTGTTAGTTTCAATAAACAAATAAATAAATAAATAACAATTTTTACAGGAAAATTATCAATGTGATCCCAAATAGTCCTGTAAAAATTGTTTGTTATGATACTCGTATTACGGCTACTTCCAGACTGTATAACAATGTTGTAATACCACAAGAGTGTTTGTAATGAAATGAAATGAAATAAAATGAATGATTTTTATTCAATATAGATTATTGCATAATACTTATTAAAAAAGAGAGCCGTGGTAGCTCAGATGGTTAGTGCTCGCTGTAAATTTCACAGTACGCGAGCAAACCGGGTACGATCCCCGCCGGCACCAATGAAATTGTTAATTTCAATTTTAAGTGCTGATTGACCACGTGCTCTGCGGTGAAGGAAAACATCGTAAGGAAATCCGCATGTCTGAGAAATGACAAATAAAAATTATATCGAAGACATGTGAACTTAGCCCACACTCATTGGAACAGCGCGACGGACAATTCCTTGCCCTAAAACCCTCTAAGAAATGAGAGGATGCCTGTGCCCAGCAGTGGGACGTATACAGGCTGTAGCTTTAACTTTTTAACTTATTAAAAGTCATTTTTTAATTTACCACTGGTTCGGAAAATACTTCTGTACTGGGAAGAACCAACAAGAAATCCAGCGGGACTTCTTTTTAAACATATTTCACTTTACAATAATTTTGTTTGTACAAATTTTACTAAATTTTTATAGAACCAGCGTGATGGCGATCACTTCATTCCCAGGGGGTATTTTCATTTATGTATTATTTGATATAATAATAACCCCTTTGTACAATTTTTCTTTAATAAAACATTTAAACTTGTTTATTGACAAATTTTGTACATTTTCTGGGATTTAATTGTAAAAGCGTATACATTGCCACATAAATTTATTACGGAGTTTATTAACTGGTATCACAAGCTTATGTTTAACATATGAACATCTTTTTTTTATCAAAGCTGTTTATGTTTTATGTTATATAAACATTAAATTTTTATAAACATATTGCGCTGCCAAGGTTAAGACGTTTATTTCTTTAAAGTTTTTTTTGTAATGGATTGTTTACAATTTAAGTTATAATTTGTCCGTACGGCGCTCTATTGCAAAAAAAATATGGCTCATTGTCAGTCGTATTACCCCATAGCAAAATTACATAATACATTACGCTATGAAAGTAACTGAATTAATACGTTCTTTACATGATAAGAATTTATTAGCTAATATGAAGGAGCCACCTCGTCACTCAGTGAACTTGTGAATGAACTTATACGTTGAAAGAACTGACCACCTGGTTATTACTGAAATTAAATCTGAAGTTATAATCTTTCATATTATTACTATTTAAAAATAATTCTATTTCTAATTATTTGCCTAACATACCTTGTATATTTTGATGCACATGCTATTTTGATGTAGGTAATTGTAATATTCTATGATATTAAAATAAATAACTTTATAGAAAGAGACCAAATTTTTATCTAATATGATTAAAACTATAAGATTTCCTTGATAACGAGAACCAAGAAGTGGTTAAATTATGTAATGTAACTATGATACCTCTCATCGTAATCTTGATGCATGGCGAATATTTCAATGAGGAAAGCATTAGGTTCTCCCGAATAACGTGTAGGCTCCTGCACTTTATGATGAGGTAACGTTGTAATGGCGGCTACTAAAATTAGTTAATTAATTATTTACTGTATTATAGTCCATAATTTTATTTAATTATTACTTTAATTTTATAATAGGAAAGTTAGTTTGTTAAGTATGTATGAAGCACCCATATTTCGCTGGTGATATTTTTCGTCTCATGTAATAGATAACGACGACCTGTTGTACTTGTAACCCTGTGCTGTCAAATACACTACAACATACCTATTCCTCTTTTATAGAATAAGAAAGACAAGCGAGCACACAGTTCACCTGATGGTAAGTGGATGCTGTGGCACATAGACATCCACATTTATCCTCGATTAGGAATCAAAATGTAAATGCGTTGCCACTCCTGAGTACTAAAATGGAATGCTTCGTTTCCAGTAAAAAGAGTGAGGTTCTCTACACTCACTATACGAAAAACAGCAGTTTGACATTGAGCTGCTTTGCTACCCTGGTATTCTGTGAGAGCGTGGTCCTACCGCGGTCGAGCCGACCTATTCGTGCTACAACCATATTATAGCTGCACCATGGCTCTAAACGTTGAAAAACTAAACACTTTTAATTATTGTTTTATACGAATATTGACTACGGGTGACACTCTAGACTATATTTTAATTTTAACATAAATGCCCATGTCATCATAAACATCCATCGTGCATTAAAGAAAGGTTCAAAGCATCACTTACAAGATTTCTTAATTCTTTCCTTTTTCAAACTTTTATCTTCGAAAGAGTCTTTACGTCTTCCGTCTAATATTCTAGACACATTATCGGTAGCACTTTAAAAAAAATATAAATAAAAAACTAAGTAATCCAAAGATATATCATACTACTATGGAAAAGCGATTCTAAAACGTTTTGAATTCTAAACGTTCTAAAACTTACCCTAATTGAGTCTTAGTAAATTCTTCGTAGGAAATCAAACTTGGAACTTTTAGCAAATGTGTATCAATATTGACGATATCGAATTCTAATTCTTCTTCATCTTCCTCCAAAAGTTCCATAATGTTCAATTGTGCTTTATCGCTCAAGTGTGAAAAACGTGAAGACAATTCCTTTTCACGGCTCTTAGGTGGAATACTGTCCTGTTCCTGTTCTTCCTGTGATAAACATCTTTATCTTTAATTGATAGCAATAATATTATAAAAATTATCTTTTCTTGTAAATCGCGAAATTTTCTCATAATATTTATATACGTGACAAACAAAACCACAGTTTTGGGCCATAGACTACTACGAATACATCTACCAATCAAAATACAGATGCATTGTCACCCCTAAGAACTAAAATTGAAGGCATTGTCACCAGTAAAAAAGGTCTTCAGTTACCATCTCTCATCATACGAAATACAGCATCATTACACTGCTTTTACGCTAGTATTCTAAGTAAATGTGATTTCTACGCGGTCGAACTACGTCATTAGTGCTGCAACCATAATACACCCACAGAGTGGTTCTACCTAATAAAACGTAACTTTTAATACAAATAGCATAGATAAACTATTTATCAATCATATTTTACCCTCAGAACCGACCAACAGACCTTCTTGGCATAGTTATATAATTCTAGTATTGGCTGATGATGTAAAGAACATAAAATTAGAAGTAGTGAGGAATTTATTTCAAGTTAGTTATAAACATTGCGATTTATTTTAAGATATTGTAATATATAAATGAATTAACTTACTATAATAGATTTTATATCCTTAATTGAATCAACAGCGCCTCTGGAGGAATGGTTGAGATCACTAATGTGATGGACAAAATTACTCGTAACGCTACGAAAAATATTTCACATACAAATAAATTGCACAATATTTATATATAATATACAGCAATGCCGTGTAGAGGATATATACAGGGTTATTTTACAAAGAGTATATGTTTAAGCTCAAATGTGTAACAAGTAAATAAGGCTTCTACTTTTATTTGAAATTATCTCAAATTGAATTTGATGTATGAGTGTCCGTGCGTAGTAAAATAGTAGGTGTTAGATATTACCGCGCATTCTGAATTTAAAAGATGAAAAGGACAGAATGTTTGAGATTTTTTTTAAGTAATTTTTCTCCGCCATTCGCCTATATTACTTATGCTAAACCTTCTCTGCAAATTTGGGCGTATATTGCAAAATAACCCCGTATAGAAGTTAACAACTAAAGAAAGATTTTTTATATATTTATATAAATTGAATGTAAGAAATGCTGAAAAGTTCTCGTAGTGAAATCATCACTTTTGGCTTATTTTGATTATGGGGAGACAAATTCATAAGCTGACAGTTTATTTGCTGTGGCCAGCAGAGCCAATGGACACCTGCAACCTGTAAACAAAGAAGCCTGCAGCTGCATTGTCACCTCTGCAGCTTACTTCATCCTTCTATATTTATAAATTATTAAATTAGATAGATGGGTGGCACAGCCGTGGCTTAAAGTCCCTAAATTCAATAATTCATTACAGCTCAGTAAAGTCTACTGCTAAACATAGGCCTCCCCCAGAGATAACCTCATAGGGGGGAACGGCTACTGACAGGCGGGTTGGTAACCACAGGTTTTTATAATTTGGAGTTATCAAGAAGATGCTGCTCCCCTATTATTGTTTCAGTTTTCCTTTGTCGGTACCTACGAGATGGTATAAGTTATAATTTTACACCGCCACTACACGGTTAATTATAGTAATAAAGAATATTAATAAGCGGGTTTAATTATTTTTTCTATTGATATTTATACAAAAGTTGTAACATGCTACAAAATATATTATAATACCAGCTGGCCCGGCAGACGTTATTCTGCCCATTCTGGTTGGTTACGCGATGAGTTTCATTTTCACACACACACACACACACACACACACACACACACACATCTTTTCTAACTCAAAAGTATAATATAATAAAATACGTGTTAACGTATAGCTAAAGCCTCTTTATGACTAATAGAATACATCACAACCATTATGACAATAAGCTTAAAGAAAAAGAAAAACATAACTCTCTTTTTTACTTTTCCGTAAGCGGATAAAAAGTTTCCTATATGTTAAACGCCATCATTTACTGCCACACACATCAACTTTCAAGGAAAACCACCGTATAGTTTTTGCGTGAATCGTGAACAAATAATTTGTTTACCGATTTACATGTATCTATAGATTAACTGGATTTTTTTTTATTAATATTGAGTTATTAACATCAGTTTCCCTCTATAACCTTTAGTGACACCCATGGGATAATAATATGTGAAATTTAATTTTCTGTTCACCACCACACGTCATCGGCATGTCATAAAGAAATATATCAAAGATGAATATCAACCAAAATTAAACGTAAATGTTAAACATCTTACATTTTAATATCGCCTCCTATCTGGTAAACCGTAGATGATCACTTTAAGAATTTAAAATTAAATTCATTCACAGACAACCCACTTAAGTACTTACCTGCTTAGGACTTCTTTGATTCATTACAGCCTATTAAAAAGGCACAAATATTTGCCATTTTTCCCACACTTGACATGAGGGTTGGCGTAAGCAGTTATTATTTTCTAGATACGTGTATTAGGAAAACGGTGCTGCCGACCTCCTGGTTTCTATCCCTCTGTCGCCTTCCGAGACAAACGATATCCAGGAAAATGGGTGGATATTCTTCACACCTCCACCTCAAAGTTTATTTGATTTAATTTATAATATTCATAATTTAAATTAAAAAAATACAGATTTTCATAAACATATACATATTCACGTTTTAAATCAATGGTTATAATACAGAAGCAAAAAAATTCGCTGCGCTACTTCTAAGCCAATTTGCGGACTACACATCTCATAATATTTTAAATTTTATAGACACTGGTTTTCTTATGATCTTTTCCTTCAACGCCGGGCACGTGGTAAACCAACTTACCGTGTTCGAAAATACTTTCGAGGATCTAATCCGCGTTGCTTGCATTCTATGAACTTTTTATAATATATGATTTTTTTTATATAGAATAAGGGTGACAAACGATCACACAGTTCACCTGATGGTAAGTAGATGCTGTGGCCCCTATACATCTACATTTATCCTCGATTAAGAATCATAATGCAGATACGTTGTCACCCCAGAGGACTAAGATGGAATGCCTCGTTTCCAGTAAAAAAGAGTCTCCGGATCTTTACACTCACCACACGAAACACAACAGTATTAAGCTGCTATTTTATGCTGGTATTCTGTGAAAGCGTGGTCTTCCCCGGTCAAGCCGACCCATTCATGCTACAACCATAATATAGCTGCAGCGTGGCTCTACCACGTATAGAGTGGATTTTCCATAATCCGTCGACGATCCGTCGATGGTCCGATTATTTTACTACAGGCTCAGACTAATTGGTGATACCACCACGGCTACACAACAACCACGGGACGAAATAGTATACTGAATGTTCTTACTCGGCCATCTTACAGCATAGGTAGTATATCAATTTAATTTAATTAAGGACTCCAAGTAAGATGCAAATTACTTAAATTTATTTTTTAAATTACCTTATTGAGATAATGAAGGGACTGATTATTATTACCTAAGTGTCGAATCAAAATCCCTGGCACGTGAGATATGAGAATGATCTTCTAAAAGCCTGAGACCCGCAAAAGGAGAGAGCTCATAGCTTTCCTCTAAAACCTCGTAGTTGATTTGCGTGTTGAGGCACATAACACCAACCGCAACTTCCTTATGCTGTTACAAAAATAAGTTACTTTGATCGTTTCTGTCTAAATCGCCGTCTGAATGAACTATAAGACATTTTATCTTAGGCTTAATTGATGGCAACGCACAACGTGGGTACTCGTGTCCATGTGCTGCAGTGGACGAACCCATCTGTGCAACATGTTATGATATAATGCCATTGATTAATCATTTAAGGTAGAGAACAAGTAAAACAACCGCTCTCGCTGTTTTAATGTGACATAACATTAACTTTTTCTCAGGCCCGTCAGCCTGATCAGAAGGATAGGCAGAGATGCCGCACTTCCATTTCCCGCAATCCTGGCACACCTATCTAGCTTCTTACACACATATATCTACGAATACATGCTCATCGTATAAGGTACTTACTCTGGATTTGATTTATCTTCAATATGTCGCCAATTTGATCAATAAACTTCCTTCCAGTGCTAGGGCGTCCCTTGACAACTCTATCACTCAGTGTTTATTATAATAAACTTAATTACAATGACAGACTGCTTACTCTCCGTTGCAGCCTATGGACCCTTGCACCCAACTTTAAATAATAAAGACAACTGTGTTGTTACCATTGATGGTTAAGACGGAATGCCTCAGTCTGTTATTAAACTGGCTCTTCGTACCTTTTAAACCGGAACACTATGTTGGATACACTGATGCTTACCGGCAGAAAGATGTAAATGGACGGCAGCTTCAATGACAAATGCTAAATCATAAAAGAATACTAAGCCCCGTTAATAAAATACCCATGTTATGCGCTATTTATAACTTGCAATAATACTCTGAAGATGTCTCGGTGTTCAAGAAAGGCGAAAACTTCATCATCAACATCATATCACATTTACAATATTAATGATATCATATCAGCTTTGGGTAGATATTTTTCTTAGCTCGGTCTCGTCTACGATGGCTGGGATGAGGCAGATCTCGTCTATGATAGTTGATACGCGGAAGACAGGGCAAATGGCGCACCGCCATGCCAACAATTCTCTCACCCCCACGCTGCAGAGGGCAGGAGGTGAGGACAGAGCCGCCACAGTCCGCCAAAACCTGTTCAGCGGGGTCATCATGAATCACTTCTAGCAGAAGCATTTTAAGTTTAGTTTGAGCTATTAACTGAAGTACTAACAGTGTTGAAGCATTGCCAGTATCCTTTAAAAAATACGTTAAAAAAAGTTTACCTCGCAAACGAGTATCACTCGTTCAGATTCAGGATGACGAGATACAAGCTCGCTGATGTAAAAATCGCCGTAGATTTCTCTCAAACGTTTTGAATGCCTTTCTATTATCGGCAATATATCATCATTATCTTCTTCCCTAATAGACCAAAATATTCAACTATAATTTTTAAAATATCCTAAACGCATTATATTAACTATAATAAATTAGGAAATTCCTTGGCATGACCTAGCAACTGTAAAAGATTAGACTTTTTTATTTTATATGCTCTTATGTCGAGCATAAAGAAACTTTTTACCACATCTCATTTCGTGGCAGTCGATACGTAGACTAATATCATAATAACTTAGTGGCCTCCAACAAATGTTTACTAAACTATAACTTTCATATATATATATATATATATATTTTACTTTCGTGATTACTATACATATAGATTTCCATATTCAGTCGGTAATCTTACTGTTAAACGTGGCTATTACAGCATATTCACCCCTTTTCGGACAAATACGGGTTTAACAACCCTCCTTACAACTGAAGAGGATTCATTGTTGTGTAATATACCACGCTTGGAGCTGGAAGATAAGCGATCAAATCTACGAATCCCAATCTCTAAAATACGTTTTTAAAAATATCTAAACATCTACTTTCACTTTGAGATTTTGTTTTCTTACTTATCATCATCATCATCATCATTACAGCCCTTCACAAGTCCACTGCTGAACATAGGCCTCCCCCAAGGTATGCCACAAAGCACGGTCCTCAGCCACCTTCTTCCATCGACTTCCTGCGTGTCTTACCAGGTCGTCACTCCATCTAGTGGGGGATCGCCCTACACTTCGCCTACCGGTACGAGGCTGCCACTCGAGAACCCTTCTTCCCCAACGGTTGTCAGTTCTTCGAGCTATATGGCCGGCCCATTCACTTCAGCTTACTAATCCTTTGGGCTATATCGGTAACTCTGGTTCTACTGCGGATATCCTCATTTCTAAGTTTATCACGCAGAGAAACTCCGAGCATAGCCCTCTCCATAGCTCGCTGAGCGACTTTGAGCGTCCTCATACGGCCAGCAGTGAAGGACCACGTCTCTGATCCGTAAGTCATCACTGGCAACACGCACTGGTTGTACACTTTAGTTTTCAGAGATTGAGGTATACCTGACGAGAAGATGTGTCGTAATTTCCCTAACGCTGCCCAGCCGAGTTGAATCCGTTGATTGACCTCTCGGTCGAAGTTGGACTTACCTAGTCGGACTATTTGTCCCAGATAAACGTACTCGTCAACAACTTCGAGCTTAGTGCTCCCAACAACTACCGGCATAGGTGTGACATGGACATTAAACATGATCTTTGTTTTGTCCATGTTCATCTTAAGACCTATCCGTTGGGAGACACTATTGAGGTCATTGAGTATAGTGCTTAAGTCCTCCAGTGATTCTGCCATAAGGACTATATCGTCGGCAAGTCAAATTTCTTAAGGAGAAAATAAAAAATTCATTCTTACACAGCTCTTCTAATACGAAGGTTGAGACAAACGTCATTCCTTTCCGCGATATTAAGACTTGGTATACGTTCCCCGGACATTCCACGCTCCACAACTTGTATCCGTCTGAATGAGGCTTCAGATCGAGGCTGACCTGGCACTAGGACTATCAAAAAAAATTACGAATATTTTTATTATTATTATACTATGGTATATATGATAATGATAAGGGATGTCAATAAAGAAATTAGTGTTCGAACAAGAGCCTCGGTAACTGATAACAGGGTGAGGAGGGTTCTCTGAAAGAATTTTGGGAGCCAGGTAGAGTTTCATTGCGCTTGCCTACAGCGTATTGGTGGACTTCATAAAGCCTCGAAAAGTAAATCAGCATTTAAAATTGCAATTAAATATTTCATTTAATTGTAAATATTTCATTAAATCGTAATTTATTTTTTTCCATCTGTGGAGAACGAGCTGGCTTAGTGCAACTCTATTCAACAAACCAACTTTTTGTTTTGTTGTAAAAGAGATGTAATTGCTATATCTTCTAATTACAAGCAGATCTCTTTTATATTCCTATTACTTTAATGACTCCTGAGTTCAGAAAATAATTTCTATCAAAAATGTATTTCTTAGTTTAGAAAAAAGAACCTAATTTTCTTATCTCTAAGGCGTACATTACGCGCTTATGCAGGAGTCAATCACTGCATTACACGGTAGGTTATTCGTCAATCACAACCGTGATTGTTGTAAAACTGACAGCCTGCATGAGCGTGTAATGTACGCACGCCTAAAGTATTGTCGGCTGGATAACTATTTTTCCTCTTTTCGAAACTGGTTTCTAAATACATTTAATTTAAGATAATAAAAGTATAGTATAGTTCTTACCATTGTATTCTACGAGACTTTTAATCATAGCTATGTATTGTAGATACGAGTCGTGCATAAACACCGACCTCAGCATGTTGTCAACAAGTTCACGAGTGTACATTGAATTCCAACAAAGTAAATGTACAAATAATGTATTCCTCGCAGTAAGCTCCACAGCTCTACAACGATTTAAGAATTAGGGATTTTAGATTTTGAACTTAAGAATAACCCTCCTAAAGCCGTTTGCTTTAATTTCATGTCTGCAACTAAGTTCATCATGGATTTTCCTAGTCGTAAAACTGCTACTTAACTATATTAAAGTGATAACGAATGTTTTTTGCGCACAAAGAACACATCAGTAAACTCTCGTGTGAAAACGTTCTGAAGAAATTCATTATCACAAAACACACACAGCTTAGGTACTGCTCGTATGGTATGATGTAAGGAAACTGACAGAAATGTTTGGAAATATTGTTGTATATGTTATTATTGCTGTATGGCGGTTTAAAAGAATTTATCTCCCCATTTCGATCCGTGGCGTGGGTGTCGCAAGAGGTGACTATAAGAAATGCTAAAAAACCATATGGCATCCGATGGAAGACGGTAATCCATATGGTTTTCGCCAAAAGAAAAATATTTACATTGGTGACAAGAAGCAGCATAATGATTTCTTAAATTTACGCGAACACTACACATTGAATAAAACTATATACCTATACGGATTCTATCGCTTTTAGTTTACTCATTTTAATTTATTTTTAATTCCCAACGTTTCGGGTGCTTTACAGCAACCATGGTCACGGGGGGGGACCGATAGATGTTGGTGTAATCATCTTGCTAACGCTAGAGGTATAATACGCTTTACAGAGATCGGCGGTGGAGAGTAGCGTAATAACTCTACTACACCGTAGTAAAAACAGAATAGTATGGTAACTCCCGCGCCGCGCGAGACTTAAATGCCTACTGTTGCAGGGTTGTCACTGTCTTTTTACCCGACTGTCAAGGAAGGGTTATGTTTTTCGCGCGATCTTGTATGTTTGTAAATTTCTTTATTACCTCGTATCTTCCAAACGGCTGGATGGATTTCGACAATTAAGGTATCATTTTATTCGTCTTAATAACCCAAGTGTTCTTAGATAGCTTTTTTTTAAAAAAATAATAGTAGTACGTTAATAAAAATAAATTAACCAAACCTATCGAATAGGATATCAAAATAAAGGAATTTAAAAGGGGATTACAAAAATATATATAAATTGTATGTTTAAATTTAAGTATGTTTGTAAATTTCTTCATTACCTCGTATCTGTCTTACAAACGGCTGGATGGATTTCATATGGTATATATTCAGATTTCAGATGGTATCGTTTTATTCCTCTTAGAAACCCAAGTGATCTTAGATAGCTTTTTTTAAATAAACAAAATGGCTGATTTTTGGCGCAAAATAGTAACGTAACTTTAACGTTAGTAAAAAAATAACCGAACCTATCGAATATCGAATATAAGTTGTATGGTTAACTTTAATTAGGAATTATAAATTGGTTTATAAAGTTTTTAATAAATGGTTTATAAAATGCTTTTTTGCAAAGTTAATTGTCTGCTGTATGCTGATGATGCAGTGCTTATTGCACCATCAGAAGCAGAACTGCAGGCATTAGTCACGTGTATGAAAGAGGAATGTGAAATTAAAGGTCTCCGTTTGAATGCTAATAAAACTAAGGTTCTGGTATTTGAAAAGGACGAAGAGAGAACGAAATGTGAAATATGGGTAAATCAGGAATGTCTAGAACAGGTAAATGAAATTGTATACTTGGGGAGTGCTTTCAGCCGGGATGGAAGATGTGATTTAGATGTGGACAGGCGTGTCGCTGCCGGAAACAAAGTCAATGGTGCCCTGAATGCATTAGTAAAAAGGCAAGGCGTGGTGAAGAGTGCACGCCTTGCAATACATAATGCAGTGTTGGTACCGACTTTGTTGTATGGCAGCGAAACCTGGGTATGCCAGAAGAAGCATAAAAGCAAGTTGAATGCAGTGGAGATGCGATCTCTTCGTAAAATGTGTGGCGTTACCTTAGCCGACCGAAAGCGAAACGAAGAGATTCGCAATATGGTAGGATTGAAAGATGACCTTATCACAAAAATTGATAGGGGCGTACTCCAATGGTTTGGGCACGTTGAACGAATGAGTGAAGATCGAATGGTGAAGAAAATATATAGAGCGAAAGTAAATATTAAAAGGTGTCGAGGTAGACCGCGACTAACTTTCGAAGACCATGTGAGCAAATTACTCGAAGAGGGGAGGGTCAAGAGTACTCGGATACCTAGACGTGCATGTATGAAGAAGTTAATGAACCTGAAAGAAGCAAAAGAGGTTAAAGAAGGCCAAAGATCGTTCTCTCTGGCTACCCCGTTAGGGATTGTGCGTGAAGGTAAGTAAAGTAAAGTATAAAATGCGCAATGTTTGTGTCGGACCTTGTGCTATTATATGAAAAAAATAGTTATTAATATCCGACGCCCAATAACATTTAAAACAAAACAAATACTTAAATTTTTTCAATAAATTTTCAACCGTATACTTTGAAGTTTTGAAGAAAAATTTAATAAATAAACACCGTTTATTTCGGGAAATATACATCAACCTTTCTAAGTCGCATAATTATTAGAGATGGGCCGAATATTCGTTTTATGTTCGGTATTCGGCATATTCGGCAGCTTTACCGAATATTCGTATTCGGCCGAATATTCGGCTAAATCACCGAACATTCGGACCGAACATTTTTAGTGTCCAATGTATTGAAATGTACGAATTGAGTAATGCGATGTCTTTTACTTTTGAAAGTATATTTTATTTATGGGTTAAATCTACTCTTACTTACTCTAGTCTAGAATGGCTCAAATGCATAAATTTATACATTTATGTTTTTGAGACACTGTAAATTTATTTCCGATTATACAATATGTAACGTAATTAACGCACACGCTGAGACACCCCAATTAGTATATTATGTTATAATCATAATACATGCACTGAATTTTCAGGTAAACATTTTTATGCACTGATTATTTATCAAATTAGTTATACTAATTCTGGAAGAATGTTGTGGACACAGTACAAATCCACGAACGCAAAGACTTTAACGTGCTTGAAATTAAGTTCATTCTTCTTTATTTTTATTCAATGACAGAGTTAGTAATAATACAAATAAAACTGCACTCTTAAGTCTTATTGCCTTAAGTTACGGTCCATTTCAATTTGTTTTGACTGTACAGATTTTTTTTTGTCAGACCATTTGCCTTGGCATATGGTCCGACACAACTGGTTACTTCGCCTACGCGGATTCCAGATGTGGAGGATCATGCACCTTCCCTGTTGGACCTTCTGCTGACCTCTCACCCGGACGGATATCAGATTTCCGTCGAAGCCCCTTTAGGCTCCTCGGACCATTGTCTTGTCCGGAGTGTGGTACCACTCACGCTGAAATCGCAGTTGCATTCTGCAGGCTGCCGCCGTGTTTGGCACTATAGGTCACCCGATTGGGAAGGGATGCGGTCTTTCTTTGCATCCTACCCTTGGGGGCGGGTTTGCTTCTCGCCGGACGATCCCAACGTTGTTGCGGATTCTGTCGCTGATGTGGTACTTCAGGATATGGAACTTTTTATTCCTATTTCCTCCGAGAAATTGTGCGATTGGATCACCAGCTTTCTTGCAGATCGGAGCATCAAGGTCGTTGTAGACGGTGCAAGCTCCGATTGCAAGCCTATTAATGCTGGTGTTCCACAAGGCTGCGTGCTATCGCCAACGCTGTTTCTTCTGCATATCAATGATATATTGCAAACCCGTAACATTCATTGCTATGCAGATGACAGCACTGGTGATGCTCTTTACACCGGCCGAGCCAATATTTCTCGGGAAAACGTCTCCGAGTGCCGGGACAAACTTGTGTCTGAAGTCGAGTCTTTGCTGAACAGAGTCTTGGATTGGGGGCGACTAAATCTAGTCCAGTTTAACCCCCAGAAGACACAAGTTTGCGCGTTAACCGCTAAAAAGAACCCCTTTGTCGTATCTCCTCAGTTTCAAGGCACTCCCCTTGTTGCCTCAGCCAGTATCGGAATCCTCGGCGTCGACATATCGAGTGACGTGCAGTTTCGTGGTCACTTGGAAGAGAAGGCCAAATTGGCCTCTAAAAAGCTTGGCGTGCTCAGCAGAGCGGGACAGTATTTCATGCCGGCACACCGCCTGCGACTTTACAAGGCGCAGGTTCGGCCGCACATGGAATACTGTTCCCATCTCTGGGCTGGGGCTCCCCAGTACCAGCTCCTTCCACTTGACCGCATCCAGCGCAGAGCGGCTCGAATCGTCAACGACCGAGTGCTTTCCGATCGGCTCGATTCACTGGCACTGCGAAGAGATGTTGCATCTCTTTGCGTTTAATTTCGCATATACCACGGAGAGTGCTCTGATGAATTGTTCGGATTAATCCCAGCCGCCAAATTTCGTGAACGCACTACGCGGAAAACGTCCCGATACCATCCACACCATCTGGATGCTTGGCGGTCCACCACAGTACGTTTCTGAAAAAGGAGTTTTCTTCCGCTTACAACCTCTCTGTGGAATAGTTTACCACCGGCGATTTTTCCGGACCGATACGACCCGGGGACCTTCAAGAAAAGAGCTTAGTCCTTTCTAAAGGGCCGGTAACGCACCTGCAATTCCCCTGGTTTTGCGGTTGATCATGGGCGGCGGTAGTCACTTAACATCAGGTGAGCCGCATGCTCGTTTGCCCCCTCTTCTATAAAAAAAATTTAGTGTGACTGTAATTTAGGTAGTTTTAATTATTTTTGGGATAAAAAATTACCTATATTAAAAATGATAAGAATCCATTCAGTTAACGATTCTGAACAAACTACTTTCTCAAAGTGCGTTAATTATGTTATGTGTTGTATATAGTTTCCAAAAACATTTTATTAAATTTCTATTTTAACAAATAGAAATTTGATAAAATGTTTTTGAAATTAAACAACATTAAACGAGAAATTTACATTACATTAGTACATTTCAGTTTACTTTGGTCGTCAGTTTCTCTAAAATAAGTCCAA